TAAGGTCATTGTGTTTCTTGTTCAAAGAATGTTTAATAGCTGATGCTATTATTTAGTAATAGAAAATACTTTCTTTTTGTTTTTTCTAGTTAAAATCTTATGTGAGTTTTGTAATCACAAAATGTTGGCTATAAGTCAAGTTTAAACAAGTTTAAATGTATAAAAAGCAAGCTTTTAGCATAATAAACCAGAGCTCTCTACATCATCCTGGTGTGCAGACTCTCATTTTCGCCGACTTCGTCCCTCACCTGCTCTTCACCAAGAAACCCCTCGAGTTTCTTGTCACGACCGTGGTCGAGTGGTCGGTGACATAACATCACTGTTAAAACACAGGGCAGACATGGAGGGCATTGGGGAGGGAATGAAGAAAAAGTGGATAATGAACACTGCATTAAAACAGATCAGGGGAAGAGCTGTCTGAAAGGAATATATGATTATGCAGTATATGTATTAGAAAAATCTGGAACAAGCGGTACAGTGCAAAGTAGGCTGGGGAAGGGGGGAGTGGGTGAGAAAATGTGCAACAATGAATAAAAAAAATTAAAAACACCTGTAAATTCTGTTTAAAGTCCTGTATTTATAACATTTGTAACTGGTGTCACTTGTACTTAAAAAAAAAAAAAAGACTGCAACATACTGAACATACCTATAAACAGCCATAAAGAAGGGGCACAGTTCTCCTACAGAACAGGGAGGGGTCACATCCCCCAACATGTGTTTTTGGTACATTTACCAGGGAAGCTCTTGTGGCTTAGTGGTAGGAGTTCCCCCAATAACCCAAAACACCCCAACTCACCACCTGCTCCATGGGAGAATGCTGACCTGTCTCCTCCAGTATGATTTACTGCCTTGAAAATCTGCTGCAGTCAGTTCCAAGTGGATGTTACTTAAAACTAACAATTTCACAAGTAGATGAGTAGGCCTGTCTTCTTGGTCTTAGTCCAGAAGGTCCCCTCCAGGAGTGGGCACAGTGTCCCAAACTGAGCCCCATGGGCCCTGCAGAAAGACACCGGAAATGTCCAGGGCCCAGTAGACCCCAAGGACAGCCTGGCCACCGTGTCCATTATCCTAGGATAGGTCACACTGGCCCTGGAGGTCGGGGTGTTCTCTTAGTAGAGATGACGCCCCATGCTTCTGGACAAACAGGAGCTGGCAGTGCCACCTCCACTTACCTTGTGTCCACATCCTCACCTGCCCCTGCCAGGCTGGCAGGTTTGCAGGGCCCAGCAGCTTCTGGATTCCAGCTCCTCCGTCCCTGTAGGCCCTGATCAGGGCTGCCTGCAGAAAAGAGCCTCTGGCCCCTTCTGGCTTCGGGTGGTTCATTGGGTCATGTGTGCTGACAGGCTTTTACATCCTAAGGGAGAGCACAGTGGCCCCACTTCACAGATAAGAAAACTGAGGTGCAAGGACCTCAGCTCAGGAGCACAGTGAACATTACTCCACCCGGATGATTCAGGGCTTGTCTTAGGCTGTGTTCTCACTGGGCACACGTGTCAACACGGCCAGGGAAGAGAATGAAACTGAGGACCATGGAGATAGTGGGGGGACTGGCAGGAACAAGACCAACCTGCAGTTTCCTGTACTCTTAAGTCTTTCAGGAACTCCAGATTTCCCCATCACTTCCTTCCTTCTCCTCTTCTCTCTGCCCTCATCAACACTTCCTGAGGAACATAGTGGACAGGCACCCCCAGAGGAAGCCCAGCTGGTGCAGGGCTGCACATGGGGTGGGTCCCCCTGTGCATCTACATGCGGCCTGGGACATGCAGCCTGGCCCATGCACCCTGGCTTCTCTGGACATACTTCCCACACAGTGGCTTAGGCTCTGATGTGCTACTTGAGCAAGTATGAGCCACACAAATGCTGGAGGCTTTCTGTGTGGTGTCTGCTCTCTCGCTTGATGGGAAATAAGAGAACAAAGAAGATGGTTTCCCTGAACTAACGGGTTCCAAGTGAGGGCACCCAAGTTCCCCATAGGAGCAGCTATCACGTGCAACCCCTCAGCTGCTTCTCAGGGCCAGCGAATGACGACCTGGACTTCAACCCACTGTGCTTACCTCTGGAGAGACCGGTCACCACGTAACAAAGCTGAATATTTATCCCAGATTCTGCAGTGCTGGAACAGAGTGGGGCTAAACAGGGCAGTCAGATTCTATGAGGACAGATCGCCTAGGCTGGCGCTGCCTGCACTTCTTCACCTTCTTGTGTGTCCAGCTTCTGTCTCACTTCCTGCTGTTGATCTGATTCTCCTCTGTGTTTCCTCAGCTCTGAGTCCAGTCTCTGCAGTCCCCACTCCACCTCATATATCCACCCCTCTGAATGACACCCTTATGTCCCTGACTTGCGTACTCAGTTTCTCAATAACTCACTCACCCACTGCTGTTGATCTTACCCTCCTCTGTGTCTCCTTGCCTGTAAGTTGCAGGGAGGAGATGGTCCATCCCCAGACCTCCACCCCACTTCTGGAAGACAGTGACAGGATGATGGCCAGTCCTTCCACCTGGGGCAGGATCCTCACACCCTGTAGCTGGTCATTGTCCCCCCTCTGTGAGGACCTGATAGGTGAAAAGTGCCCCCAAGTGACTCAACCTGGCCTTCTCAGTCTCACTGCACTGGAATAGGGCACCTGTGGGTTGTGAACGATTTAGAATGAACTCTGATGGCATCAGAAAGTACATGCTGGACTGCTAGCCAAAAGGTCACAGGTTTGGGTGCACCAACTGGCTCTAGGGGAGAAAGGCACAAATTCCATCTCAGAGAGAATTACAGCCTCAGAGACCGAGGGAGGGTGACATCCATCACAATAGAGCTGAGGCAGCTGCTTGGCTTGGTTTTCAAGTAAAGGCTGGTGATATCCCTTTTCCTGTGGCATTCTTATCATGATCACAGTGCACATGAGGCTGTAGAAAAATTATCTCCTAGGTTTGAACCCACTAGCTGCTCTGTTTCCTCTGTAAAGATTTACAGCCTTGGAAATTGATGGATCAAGGTCTTGTTTTAGCAAATGAAAAACTGGCAATCCTACTTGCTCGCCAGTTCTATAACACAATCTGCATTCAAGTCAAATGAAAAAGTAGAGCTGGGCAGACTATAGTGCTTGTACTACATAAGGAAGCTACTTTAAAAGGAAAAGAACACAAAATGTATTAGCAACTTAATCCTCTGGCTAATAAAATAAGTTTATTTATATATACTTGGTAGCTGAATTCTGTGGTTAAGGAAAAATAAGTTATACATCCACATATATATATATAACATATGTATCTTTGACTACATATATTATATATAATATTACTTTACAAACAGGTTTATCTCTAAATATAAATACACGCACACTGAAATGTTAAATGCAGAGCTAACAGAGACGTCACGACAAGGTAAAGGGCATTCACGGATGCTAGGTACATGGATTTCCGAGTGTGTATACCGGCTTCATTGAGGGCCCAAAGTCTTTGAAAACTGACAACCACTGAATGCAGGTTCTCTATGTTCATACAACAGGAAAAACATACATATTTTAAGGCCATCTCTTTCTTCTTTTAAAGGAAAATGCAGGAAGAAAGGAGAAAGTCATGATAGAGAGACCACACCACCACCACTAGCCCATGAGTCAACATTCAGGTGCAACTTCCAGTCTGACTATATTCAAAATAGACTATTCAACTATTTTTCTTTTAGAGAAAGGAAGTACCAAAGTGGAACTCTTCTCTCTCAGCCACTATCTGTCAGAAAGATCAAAAGCGAGGGGGGTCTTCTCTGAAGTCCTTGCCCCTGTCAGCTGTGCTGGACGGAGGGGCGGGGGAGGGGGAACACCACACAGGTGACCCAGACAGAGGGGAGCAGCATATTGAAAACACAGAGCTGATGGCCCGTCCACAGGCTGAGTAACAGCAGCCCTCGGTATTGAGCAGGGATACAACACACATCCTCTCTTTGGAGTTTCACTTTGGCAATCTCTGTTTCTTAAGGTTGCCAAAAGTCCCAAAATGTTCTCAGGGATACAAGACTGCCTTTTGAGAACACAAATGCTGAAACTCCAGCAGGCATTTCTGCCTTGATGAAGGGTCAGTACTGGATGCTGGCAGGCCAGATCTGCCTCTGAACCGCCGTGAGAAAAGGGCCAAAGATTTAGTACCGATATGGGTGTGGAGGGGGAAAGGGGGGAGGAGCTGAAAGGGGAGTTTGTCCCACCTGGGAGGGTGGGCCTGTGTCTAGTCCAGTGTAGGAGACCTACTGTGTGAGGACAGAGATGGGCTTAATTGTCAAGTCATTCTTGAGATCTAGATGTCCCACCCGTCCCTAGGAAACAGGGGGCAATGAACAAGACATTTGTGAGCATGAATGACCATGGCTGTAGACACAATGCAGCTCTGGTCCTCAGAGAGGATAGGTGGTCCTTTTCCTGCTCTTCTGTGACTGCATCCTGGAGGCCACTGTACAATTCTGCACCTCTGAGGTCCTCCGATGCAGAGGTTCTGGTCGTCTGATTCTGGGGGCAATGATGTCCACTTCTGAGGTGACGGACGGTCCATTTGCTGCTCTGTGATGACTTGGTGTCCAGGCTCAAACGACCCCGCTCCCTTCACTGCTGTGCATTGCATACCATCATGAAAAATCAGGGCATCAGGAATTCCAAAGGCCACATGAGTGAAATCAACCTCAGAAGTGGACAGCAGTCCCTAGAGGAGGCTGGTCTCTCACCATGTCTGCCTGAGGCCCCTGAGACCCTTGTCTCCAGGGCTGTTATCAAGACAAGCAATCAATGCAACTGCTTTGCTTAAAAATGCCTTTATTTTATAAAGCCATGTATCGCTCTGTAAAGTTTCTTTAAATCACACTTATAAAAAAAGATGTTGACAATTCTTGGGAGAAAAAAAGCTGAAAATGCTCCTCATTAGGTCAGGGCTACACAAAGGTTAAATTTATAATATATTTATCTGTATATATCTGTGTATTTATAATATGGAGACAAAGGGTAGAGACCAGCAAAGTGAGGGCTACCGTTAGATCTCGGACACCTGATCGTTCCCCACAAAGAGCGTTTCTCAACAGAAAGGGTTCACCAGGACCATCCCAGTGTCCCTGTAGTCACCATTGGCTGGGGAGCGGGGCTCTGAGAGCTGGTCCTGGAGAGAGAAGGGGAGAAGGTGTCAGCTGGGTGGCCCCTGAGCTAGGGGCTTAAAACCCTGTGTACATGACACCTGAATTTCAGCCACAACTACTTGGCCTCACCACCCCTGCCAGGGCAGCCCCCTCTTTGCTCATCCACATTTTAGAGCAGATACTGGAAGAGTTGTCCTACTACCTGCCTCACTTCTCACCAAGCTACTAAAGACACACTGCTGTCATCGTCAAAGTCTGTGATGGCTCTTCACACATGGCATCCCTGTCCCTTGGCCACTGATTCAGGGCAGACCCAGCCCACGGTGAGCCCAGCTGCCCCGTCCAGCCTCTTTACCCAGAGCTCTGGGCCTGGCTTTGCTCCCTGAAAACACCTTCCCCTCCTGCCAATGATCTGTTAGTCTCAATCACTCTTTAAGGGCTGATTCACTCCATTCTGGAATCATCCTCGGATCTGGTAACCATCGTGATGCTAAATGCTCTGCCCTGAGAAGATCTGATTCTTTGCCTGCTTACACTACAGAGGGCATTTAAATAAATGACTCTGAGGTTTTGGTCCCAACTCTAAGGATTACAAGGAGGCCTTGTAGTTTTATTGGTCACCACTGGATTGATATTATCATGATAGACGGGGAGAAAATTGAAACTGTCAACAGTTCGATCTTACTTGGATCTACAATCAAGGCCATTGGTACCAGCAGTCAAGGGGTCAGGAGATGTATTACATTGGGAAAGTCTGCAGTTAGGGACCTCTCCAAAGCACTGAGGCCCAATCGTATTATTTTGAAGACCAAGTTGTGCTTGATTCAGGCCATGGTCTTCTCAGTCACTTGCTATGCCTCTGAAAGATGGACAATGTATAAGGATGACACTGGTGGTGCCTTTGAGTTGTGGTGGTAGAAAAGAGCACTGAATGGACTGCTAAAAGAACAAACACATGTCTTGGGAAAAGTGCAGCCAGAATAGTCTTTAGAAGCAATGACCGTGAAGCTTCATACATACTATGGGTACGTCACTGGCAAGGGCATCAATGGAAAGGTGAAGAATTAGCAAAGGAGGGGCAGACCTTCAGTGAGGCTCAGAGACGGCAGTGAAGGGCTCGAGTGTGTCAGAGATCATGAGGATGGCTCAGGACAGGGCAGGGGTCAGGTCTGTTGCTCATATGTTGACTGTAAATCCTCCTCAACTCACATTCGACAATGTGACAACTACTACCACACAACAAGGATTTCAAGATTTTTGTAAGCTGCTACATTGTAGCAGCAGTTGAGAAAGAAAGTTTTGTTGCATTGGGCAAATCTGCTGTCAAGGACCTCTCCAAAGTATCAAAGAGCAAGGGAGGCTTACTTATGCTTTATTGACCATGCAAAAGCATTTGTCTGTGTGGATCATAGCAAATAACGGATAACACTGGAAAGAATGGGAATCCCAAAACACTTATTTGTGCTCAAGCAAAACCTATATAGGTAAACAAAGAAGCAGCTGCTCAAACACAAGAAAGGAATACTGCATGGTTTTAAATGAGGGAAGGTACAAATCAGGGTTGTATTCTTTCTCCGTACCTTTTCAATTTCTATGATTGCCGTTGAGTTGAGCGCAACTCATAACGACTCTATGAACAAAAGACCTAATGTCTTTACATAATTGTTGTCATTCACCAAGTTCATAGAGTTTCCAGAGGCGTGTGGTTTAGGAAGTGGATGTCACTCCTGCTTCCAAACCTTTCTCTATACCTCTATAGTGAGCAACTAATTTGAGAAGGTAAGAAAAATAATAATTCAAGAACTTATGAGAAGAATGTGGCATCAGGATTGGAAGAAGATTCATCAACAACCTTACTTGAAGCACTTACTACAAAAGACATAAGCCACAGCCTTCAATATGAATTACATCCTAGCACTAAGAAAACCAAAAATATCTCACCATGGGGCTAATAATGACAAGTGAAGAAAAGATTGAAGTTGTCACAGATTTCATTTTACTAGAATCCACAACCAGCACCCATGGTGGCAGCTGTCAAGAAATAAAAATGTGTTGCACTGCAGAAATATATTGTCAAAGATCGTTCCAAAGGGTTAAAAGCAAGGCTGTCAGTTTAAAGACAAAGTGAACTTGAGACTTCTCTTCTACTGCATCCTATGCATGTGGAGGTTGAACAATGAATAAGGAAGATGGAAAGTTAATTGTCTTTGAATTATGGTGTTGGAGAAGAATATTGAATGTATTTCCAAAAAAAGCAAATAAAACTGTCTTGGAGGAGATGCAACTGAAGTGCTCCTTAGAGGCAAGGATGCCTCTCAATCACATTTACTATTCCCAGAAGAAAATAGTCTTTGAAGAGAGGCATCATGCTGGAAAAGGCAGGGGGTCGGCAACAGAGAGGAAGATTCTCCTTGAGATGACCACGATACGCTTGAGTCAGAGAGTGGTGCAGATCACTAGGTCTCATACTTGACTATATGGTACTGCAAAACATCAATCTTTATTCTTGTGCAGTAAGTTTTTCAAGTTCTCTTCACTTTCAGCAAGAAAGGCTGTTATCTGCATAACAAGTCTGTTGAAAAGTCTTGTTCTGATGATAATGGCACATTCTTCTTTATATAGTTCAGCATCTCAAGTGCCAAACAGACTGAATAGGTAGGGAGAGAGGATACAATACTGCCACACATTTTTTTCTGATTTAAAATCATGCTATGTCCTCTTGTTCTGTTTGGATAACTACTTTTGGTCTAGGTTTTACATGAGCACGATTAAGTGTTCTGGGTTTCTGAGCCTTGCTAATGTTGATCTACACTTTGTTATGACACACAGTCTAATGTTTTTCACAGTCATCGAAACACAAATAATCATCCTTCTCGCATCATCTGCTTTCAGCCGGATTGATCTGACGTCAACAATGACATTCCTCTGTCACAGCTTCTTCTGAAGCCAGCTTGAATTTCTGGCAGTTCTCTGTCAATGTACTATCTCAGCTTTTTAAAAAATTGTCTTCTGCAAGATTATACTTGTTTTTATGTGTTCTCAGTTGATTGTGACTCATAGTGACCTTAGTCACAACAGGTCTGAACCCTGTCCTATCCTGAGCTAATCTCACGGTCTCTGACACATCTTCTTCATTCAGATGCCCACCATCTCCAGAGAATCTGCAATTGAACCCTATGTGGCCAAGCTACTTCTAGACTACCTAATCCATCCAAATCACCCTTCTTTTCCCAGCTTGTCCTGTCATTGGTTACCTATTGAGTGCCTTCAGTCACCTAACAGCTCAAATTTCCAAAGTTTCTCTACTGTCTAAAAGAAAACCCAAACTCCAGAATGCCCCACAAGGCTCTGCTTATCCTGCCTTCATTTCCCTTTCCTGCCCCAACATCTGTGTGGGAGTGAAGGGCCAGAGCCTGTACCTGGAGGGACCTGGGTTCTAACAGCTCAGGCCAAACACCCTATGACTGACATGCCAGTTCAATGCACATCCCGTTCAGGCACTGTGCCACGCCTTACCCTGCCTCCTTGGAGTCCACTTCTCTGCTGGAGCACTTTCACTGTGAAGGCTTCCCCAATATGCCTACCTCTTTCCTCCCTGGGATTCAGTAGCTGTCTGTAACTCTTACTGCATCTCTCCCAGCCTATTGTGAATGATAGTTAAGAGTTGCCCGCCTAACAGTTTCTTGGAATCTGCACTCCTTGAGAACAAATTATCTTTGTAACCTCCAGGCAGTATCAACCACAAAATGGGTTCTCAGTGACTATTAGCTGACTTAGTTCTAGAATCGCAATCTCAGAAAGTCTCACACTTTAACAGGCACAGAAAACACCCGGAGATTCTCGTGAAATTGCAGATTCTGGCATTCAGGGGTCAAAGGGGCTGGGGTTCTGCTGGTCAAGGGAGCACAGTTGAGTCACAAGGCCTTAAGAAAAGAGCAGAGGCTCCCAGGACGTCCTTTGAGACCTCTGTGACTTTTGGGGGATGGGGGTCCTTGAGGGCTTGTTCTCCTGCCCACTCAGGGTACCCCTCTTGTAGGGCACTTTTTTAGGGCCTGTGGCCTCCCATTCCCACCCACCCGGCATTTGTAGGACTCCTTCGAGCAGCCCCTGGTGGAGGACTCTACCTCAGAGGTCTCCAGGGACTGGATTTCCTGAGGTAACTGCACAGCCCGCGTGCTGAAGTAGTCCATGGTGATGGCGTTGTTCCAGTAGCTCAGTTTGTTCTCTGGGGTTGCGGTCTTCTTCTTCCTCCTCATGCAACATACTGTCAGCAGGACGGCTGTGGAGAGAGTTCAGGTGAGAAAGGACAATGGGAGTGACAAGGAGAGAGCTGGCATCAGCAGGTGGCATCTGCCAGTCTTCTGGAGGGGACTCTCTTGTTGTTATGTACCGTCAAGTCACCAGCAGCTCGTGGAGACCCTGGGTAAACAGCTCTGAAGCCTGCCTGTCCTGATTCCGTCTCACTCACTCAGACACCTACTCCCATTGCCCCAGTTACTGTATCAATCCATTTCACTTGAGTCTTCCTCTCCTGCGCTGTCCCTCTACCCTTCCAAACATGATGTCCTTCTCCAAGGACCAGTTTCTCCTGGCCACATGCCAGGCTCACATGTCTGTTGAGACAGAGCTTCAAAATTCTAGCCTCCAAGGAGAGACTAGGTTTCACCATGCTGGAGGATGGTAAGTGGATACCTGAGTTCTGTACCTGTCCTGTGTGTATGTGGCTGTCTTGGCTGCAGAATGGTCTTAAAATGGAACAGGGATTTGTTTTCCTATTCTCTCCCCACATGCTGTTATTGTCCCAGGTCCCCTTACAGTTCTTTCAGCAAGTCCCCACTGCGTTCGCCTGCCTCTGCAGAAATCATTGGTTGAAGCCACAAAGGCCTGAGTGCAAGATTTACACTGAGTAAATAATTCAATTTGTCATTAACATTGACTTTTCATGTTGTTATTAGGTGCTCTGTTGAGCAGTATGTAATATGCTGCGCTAATAACCAAAGGCCTATGGTTCTAATTCACTAGTTACTGTGAGAAGAAAGTTAGGGAGTCTCCTCAGTAAAGGTCTACAGACTTGAAAAATCACTTGAGGGCTTCTATGAGGTGGCAATGACAGTGCTGGGTGTGCACAGGGTTGTTATGAGAACTTCAGAGTCATTGATAGAAAATACAGGCACTTGCTGACACATCGAATTAATGCTGAATTAATGACAGTCTCCTCTCACTCCTTGTTCTTCAGTGCTGAACATGAAAAGATCTAGAAATACTAGGTGGAGAACTCATGTCAACGGTCTCACCAATGGTTCACTGTTTTCCAAGTAAAGAAAGCACAGCTCAGACTGTGGACATCTCTGACACCGTCCCTGCACTGACCAAAGTGGAGGAGTTGTATTTGTCTCTTACAACTCTGACAACAGTGCTGTGATTCTCCCCACTTACTGAGAGCTAGCTGACCCTCATGGAATCAAGAGCACCTATGAAAAGCTGATTCTGATCAGTCACTGGCACTTGGACCCAGGTCTATGTAACCTGCAGGCTTATGTGTCCATTGTCCTACATGGTCAAGTTGGCAGGTAGCAACAGTTGTCAACTATACAGCTCTGTGTACTCCAGCGCCGTCCACCCCTTGCTGACTCCACCACAATCCAGTGCCGTCCACCCCTTGCTGACCCCATCACAAATGCCAGCTGCTCTTCTGCTCCTAAGACAGCAGCCATAGTCCATGGGCTCTAGAGGCTGCCAATGGGATCCCTATTTCCTCACCTCTGAAGACAGGATAAGAATTGGACAAACTCAGCTTCTTTGCAATGTCTGTGGGTGTTACACATAGCTTGTTGGATGCACAGAAGGAAGAGGGAGGTCTGAGCACTGTGGTTATCTTTCTAGGCAGGGGCAAACGTTCAGGTGATGGGAATCATTCTGTCAGGGGAAATGGGAATGAAATCCTACAGGTGCCCTGAGGATCTGATTTGTTCAAACACCTCCAGAAACCCTCTGTGTACCACCAACCACATAGCAACAGCATTACCAACACCATGTTCTCAATGCTTCGCCTTGAAGACCACAGATTCTGTGGTGGGAGCTCACATGTATTGTCTGAAGCATGCACAAAGTATGTGAGATGAAGCTTTAACATCCTTACTTCCAAGGAGTACTCTGGTTATACCTTTTCTAAGACATATCTGTTTATTCTTTTGGCAGTCCAAGGGATATTCAGTACAAGTGACTGAAAAGACTATGGTCTGAATTAGGGGCACCTTAATCCTCAAACTAACATCATTGCTCCTCAGTAATTTAGAGAGCTCCCTTACTGCAGACTTTGCCAGTGGAATATATCTAGTGATCTTCTGACTGCTGATACCAAGTATATTGATTGTGGCTCCAAGTTTTGCCCATAACATCTCTAAGTATTGCACCCTAGGCTTGAATTTGCTTTTTAATTCTTTTAGGCTGACAAACGCGGAGCGAGTACTTCCCTTTTTATTTTCCAATTTCAGCTCTCTGCACATTCCATTATCATACTTTGGTTTGTCTTCGTGAGCTGCCCTGGGAAATCTTGCAGCATGGAGACAGTATGCACAGGATGATGTGGACACTGCTGTGTCAAGACTTCCTCCAGCACAGGATGTGACACACATAGGAGGATGGACATTGAGGGAGGTCAGAGAAGACTTCCTCTAGCAGGGATTTTACACAGACAGGAGGATGGACGCGCAGGGGTCTGTGAAGACTTCCTCCAGCACATGTGACACAGATAGGGAACGTGGTCAGGGAAGACTTCTTTTTGCAGGGATATGTCACTTACAGGAGGATAGACAGGGATGTGGCACATATAGGTTGGACGGGAGGTTGGTAGTACCAGGCTGAAGAGATGGCGGGCTCCTATGTCCTGATGGTGGCAGCAGAGAACAGCTCAGAAACCACAGGGCTGCCCTTATCCACTGACCAAGCCCAGGACCTGTGAGACTGTGAACTGGAGTGCCAGTGAGTCTCTGGCCTGGCTCTACAGAAAAAGCCTTTCTTAGCCTTGCTACACACACACTCTTACAGCCTGGAGGGCATGCGGAATAGGTGACATCCCTGTATGAACAGATGCAGGAGGTGCTATGCTCTCTGCCTGGCCACCTTAAGTCTGGATCTTGTGATGCAAAGACACAGGGCCAAGGTTGTTCTGAACAAGCAGGTAAGAGGAAACGTGTATTTGCTATCACTGAAGATTGTCAAGAACACCTGGCCAGTTGGCGAGTGGGACCCTTAATTTGAGGGCTGCAGGGAGACTAAGGACAGACAGAGAGAGCCATCAAAGTCTGAAACATGGCCCATCCATTTATGTTTCTATCATTGGGGTCTTACCTGGGTTAGCAGTGATCCCACAGAAGTGAGGGGCCAGGTCTTTTAGGGCAACATGCATGGAAGCAGGTAGGACTGAGGTAGAAACTAAGAGAAGCTAGATGTGAGGGACTGTGAAATGTCCCCAGTAAGCGCAAAGAGCACGTCAATCCCAGGTGCCATCTGGGGTCCACATTTTCCGTTACCGGGTGCCATGCTGCGTTCCAGTGCCTTCTATCAGAGCGTTAGGAAAATCTACTCTCTAGGTGCTATTCCTGGTTGTATCCATGTCCCTGTCTCGCCTGACACTGTTATGCCTGGTTTAGGCAGCCCATGCACTTTCCTCTGAGCAGTAAAATCTCATCTAATTTCAAAAATCTTGCTTAGCAGAAGGCTTGTGGGGAGAAGGATTGAGTTTTTTCAGAAAAGACAGAACCGGGCATGTCCAGTGCAGGTAAGGACAGTCCACCAGTGGAGGAGCTGTGGGAGTGGGGGACAAGCCACATTACTCATCCGATTCCTCAGCTCCTGGCAGAGCAGGAACACTCAGGAAATGACACGCTGAACCCCACTGAGGAACTCAACCACCAGATCTGGTAGGCCCACTGTATAATCACTTGATCTGGAAACTTCTCCCCACCTGAATGGTGACAATGACAGCCAGTGGATGACAGCCAGAGTGAGCCAGGCAATTGGACTATTAGTTTCTATTTTACCTTACCAGGTGGTCTGCCCTAGGAAAGGAATGATGATATCAACGGGAGTCCACATTCACAAACTACAGTGTCTGGATGCATGTCAGGAATGCAACATTAGAAAGCTACTTCTAACTTCTAATGCAATTACTTCAAATATGACCAGTATTAATAATTTTTGCTGATAGTACTACATTTTCTCATGATCTGTTTTGAAAGTAGGAATTCACAACTTTGAGATTTTATGTGTATCTTCCTCAGGGACAATACAGCTACTCTCAATAAGCATAAAACCAACAGGCAACCTGGTAGCGTTGTGACTTTTTAAAAATTAGATCCTTGAGCAGAAGAAGGTTTCCCACTGACATGGCACACTGGCTTTGCTCCTCTGCTCAAAGAGTCTGAGAGAGGTGGCTCCTTGAGAAAGGCTTTGTTGAAGGGCAGTGCTGGTTCATGTGAGAGGTGCCACCCTCCAGCACTACAGGTCAAACTAAAGCCTCAAAGCTGGGGATCCCAGGTCAGTGACTTTCCAGGGGCAAAACTCACAGGCCTTCCACTCCTCTTGAGACTAGGCTGAGAGTCAGTAGGGTGACAAGCAGGAGGAGAAAAGCCAAAGACCAATGCAGGCACAGGCCCTCATCAAGAGGCCACCATCTGCCTGCCTCCACCACCGCTGGTCACTGTCCCTTCTAGAGAGCAGCTCTAGAGGGGCAAACCTGGGGCCAGGCATACCTGAAGGAGCAGGATGAACAGCTGAGGAAAGACTGCTTCTGAGAGTGACTGGCTTGCTCGGGGATTGGTTAGGATATGGACTTTTGGGTTAGTTTCAGGACAGAAGGTTTAGGAGTTAAGGGAAGATAATACAATGAGGCAAATGTCAGTTCCCCAGAATAACCCGGTGAGCCAATAATATATAAGATCTGCCCAGGGAATGAAGGGGAGGGTGTCCTCATCCCCGGGAGGCTTCAGGGGTGGGCTGGATGATTATCATTGGACGAGGGGCGGGGCAGAGTACAGGGAAGATGAAAGCTGCCACTTAACTGAAAAAACAAACAAACCCAAACCATCCCAAACCTAGAACAAGCCAATTCCACTGCCATTATGTTGGTTCCAACTCAATGGATTCGATCCTCCCTCAAGGCTGTAAGTCCTCACAGGAGGGGACAGCCTATGTTAGAGACCCCCCTGGAACCCTGGATGGATTCAAACCACCAGAGATACACAACATTCTGGGTGGCAACAAGCGACTTTACCATCAGAGCTTTGTTGCTTGGAGGCTACATATTTGGAAGAGCCACCTTGCACTTGTATTGCCCTTGCTCCAAGTTCCTGAAGCCACACAGAGACAACTAAGGAAAAAGCTAATGTGGAGGATGATGAAAGCATGAGTCTTGAAGACAAGTCTTGAGGTTTCCTCATCCTAGCCTGGCACTCGCTAGTGCTGGGACCCTTGGGGGGCCAACTCTCCGGCTTGTGGTTTTATCCGACAGATGCTGGGCTGGGTTAGACTGTCTGCAAGGCATTCTCAGCCTATAGTAGCTTTGGCTTTTGTGGTCAATAGATCTTGAGCCATGGCCCCTATGAGCCTTGTCTGGCTATTTTGTTTCCTAGGATTCTGGGACTTCCTGCAGCTCACCTGATGAAGTCTGTCCAGTTCTAGGACAGCATGAACTGCAATGCTGCACATGAGCAGATGATATAGAGGGAGAAGAAGGGGGGTGGGAAGTCAAAAGATAGTGAGGTACTTACAGCAGGAGGAGATGGGCACACTGATGGCCAAGATCACCCAGATGATATCCATCTTGCTCAGGCAGATGGTGGCTCTGTGCTGGGGCTTGTCCCCTTCAGCTACATGGGAGATGTTCCCTACTGTTCCAGGCTTCCAGGTCTGGGCAGGGACCAGGCGGTTGAGGAAGTTCCCTGTGGCTGTGGACACCACTGTGGAGAGAGGACTGGGTGCTCTGCCTGTCATGGAGGAGGCAGCCCTAGCTTCCTCTTCAGTGAGGGAAATAGTGCTTTCTGGGGCCCTAGGGATGGGGGCTGTGACACTGGGGGTGTGGGCTGGGGCCCATGGGGTCGGAGATGCTCCCTGAGGAAGCCCCTTAGAAGGGACTGAGACAATGACATCAAAGGCAGCCTGAGTGGGCCCCGTGGAGGCTGTGAAGACCCCAGAACTGGCCAATAGAGGTCCACTGGTGCTGGGGGTGACAGTCAGCCAGAACTTAGTATGGCTGGGGCTGTCCTGTGGGTCACCACGGGGGCGCTGAGAAGGCACTGGGGTAGAGCGTGGACTGGAAGGGGCACCTGAAGTTGCTGTAGAGTTCAGCACCCCTCCTTGGCTGGTGATGGTGGGACCACTCCCCTGGCCTGTTCTAAGGCCTGGCTTGTTCTCTGCAGGCCCCAGGGTGGGGGTGGATGGTGCCCACCAGGTACTCCTGGATGCTGTGGTTACAGATACTGTCTGGGGCTCTGGTGAGAAAGTGGATGCTTGGAGTGAGTTCCTGGGAGTCAGGGCAGAGGGTTCTAGTTCTCCAGACCCTGTGAAGTTGCCCTTGTAGATCTGAAAGATTTTCCCAAGGGGCCGCTTCTGGCCCAGATGCGTGGAGTTCTGATTGCGTCCTCGCTGGCTCTCCTTTCTTCCCGAGTGGCTACTGGACGCCGGTGGGACAGGACTTGATGAACTGCCTGTTCCCTTTCGGGAAGAGCCCTGTGGCCTCGGGGGCCTGCGTGTGGCAGACCTGGTAGATGATTTGGTGGGGCGGGTGGTGACTCCTGTTTGCCCTGTCAGCTGGGCAGTGGGGACGGCCTTTTCCAGGTGGCTACTGGTGACTCCTGGTGGTTTTGTCAGCAGGATGGTGGTGAGGACAGCCCCCCCAGGGGGGTGGCCTTGTGAATGAGAGGACGTATTTTCCATGGCAGCAGGAATAGGCCCAGTGTGCAAGGAGTTTTCAGAATAGGGGATAGCTGGTGTGGTCTCGATGGTAGGGGTGATGTTTGTAGGAGGATGTCTGTCTGGATGGGATGGTGTCGTCATGGGTACTGTGGCTTGTGAAGAGGTTCCACCATCATACTGTGTCTGTGCCACCACCGCAGCAGGGACAGCCGTCACCATGGAGTGTCTGGGAGAACTGGAGGGGGCTGTTACCATCATGTCTGCTGTTGTGCCTGAGGGGAGGACCTGAAGAGAGTCCCTGGGAGATGGTTCGTGGACAGCAAATACCAGCGCTTCAGTCAGAGCCAAGGTCAGGATGCCTTGAGAAGGAGACAGAGAGAAGAGATGAAACACTGGCGCAGCATCCCGTGGCCTTTCTCACCCAGAACCCTCAAAGCTCCGAGAAGGGAGGAATTGTTGGGGCTTTTCAGAGCCAGACTAAGTGGTTCCAGCCTTCCCCACCAGTCTCTGGAAACCACAGCACTCCACTCTTCTCAGAATAGGCTAGGACAGATTTTGAAAGAGGAGCCTGTGGTGACTCTGAGTACTGGCTGTCCCTCTAGTGTTTTAGCGGGTGGGAGGAGGCGGCCAGGCTGTAAAGAAGCTGGCCACTCCTTGTGTCACTCGAGCCACTGAGGAAGGCTCGGGAAGGCAAAAAGGACCAATCCCTGTGACTCTTTTCTGAATCTCCATTTAACCAGAGACAAAGGTATAAATGGAAAGACATTTGCTTGTTCAGAAGCATCCATATAACAATTTGGAAGGGCTCACTTTTCCTCAACCCTGGGGACAGACACAAATGATCTTGTGCAAATGCACAAACCCCTAAAAGGCAGCAGAGATGTTACAATGTGAGGGGAGAGTGCCAGGTAGGAGGGGAAGGCCCAAGAAGGGGCACCCAGGACATGGCACGCAGCAGAGGGTCCAGAGAAGGCAGCCTGGCCCCATCCACAAAGGCCATGGACATGCACTCATTGTCATCTTCTCTGCTCTCCCGTGGGACACAGGGCTTAGAGAATTCTGCACGCTGAACAAACTAAGAAGGAACAACTCTCACCAACTCAAAAGTAAAGGCGGAGGGAGATCTAGTGGCCTAGTGACAAGAAGCTGTACTGCAGTCCCAAAGCTGCTTGGTTCTACCAGATGCTCCGCTGGAGGAGAGGCAATCTCCTCCTGTGCCAGTCGGATCCGATTTGACAGTACACAACAAGAAATAAAAAGAAAAGAGAATACATTTAAAAAAAAAAAAAGTAAAGGTGGGGGTTTAGACTGACAGCTTCTGTGAGCAATGAGAAGATGCAAAAGGAAGTAAACTTCCTATCTACTTAAAGATAGGAAGTTTCTTAAGTGTCTTACTTATACATCACAACAGCACGTGCCTACATTTTCAACTATTAACTCATATAAAAGCGAAATGCTGGGTCTCTTCAGATCACATGGAGAAAGGCTGGCTACCCCCTCCCAAGGCCATGGGCTGGGATAAGCTGACATCCACGCTGGAGAGGAGCCCTGCAGCCCTGCAGCCCCATGGTTCCAACCACTCTGCTCCTCCCGAGTCTCATGACCCTCACTGTGGTCACTGTGGTGAACACAGGTACAGGTCACTGTCTCTCCCCGAAAACCCTCACAGAGTTACTACTGCATGAGACTGCAGCAGGACAAATTAACAAAGTGGAAGTCTTGGGTGGTCAGCAAAGACACTGATAAGGAAGTGGCCCTGCGAAGTTTCTAGAAAGTGGAGAGGAGGCACAATTAAGGCTTTCCACATTAGGGTATGCTAGCACTTCTAAAGTAGCAGACACAGAGATGCTGAGGACTGGAACACCTATCACTGGGGTCAGAGACCTGTTTTCTCTGAACTCACATTCATGACTGGGACCACACACCAAAAGTGTGCTCTGCTCATTCAAAGCAGCCTGGAGCTCTGTGAACCAGCTACCCGCTCTGTGCTGCATCAATGCTCATGACCACTCCATAACAACGCATAACAACTCCAGTTGGGGATCAAGACTGCAGGAGATTAACATGTTCAAAATCACTGCCAAGAGGCTTTACCCAGTCAGCACCAGTGATGCCAAAGGGGAAGGAAAGACACATCCAGGAAGGAACCATTCCCACCAACACACCCAACTGCCAGGCTGCACCCTGCCACTGGGCAGACAGTGGTGTAGGGTTGTTCTCGTCCTTGCAGCTCTATCTCCCATAGATAGTCTGCCCTGAGGGCTGGTGAGCCTGAACACTGACCCTAATGGATGATCCCTCAGAATCCTCTCTGGATCGTGACATGCCTGTTGCACTGGGGCTTTCCCACAGAGAATGAAAGAAATCAGGCTTTGGAGGTGGTTTGTGTTGGGGTGATCCTGGGGAGAGCCAGGGTGCTCTCAGATGAATGAAGCTGGGCACGAGAGAAGACTAGTCCAAATGAAAGTTCATGATCATAATCGGGTATGCAAGTCACTGCTGGTGACCTCTGAGGAATTCACCTCTAACTGCCTGGCTACAGGAGTGTCACCCAGCAGTGCCATCTCTGCTGGTCAGGGGCTGCCCCAGTGTGCCATCCAAGTCCTTCCACATGTGCCCATGTGCCTCCCATGACCAACTCAGAGAAACCCCAGGCTTCACCTTGACCCAGGGGGTACCTGCAGCCACAGCTGGAGTTGAAATGGGCACCTAGAAGATTCTTGAGGTTAGGGTTAGGTCTCAGAGGTGCCAGATATAATAAGAGACCTGAGATAAAGGAAAGTGCAGCATTTTGGCAGAAGCGGCGACAAGCTTTCTAAGGGATACTAGCTGACTCCTGGGGCAGTCCTGGGTGAGAGGGAAATCTCAGCCCCAGGAGGACTTCTGCAGCACTCCAGAGGCAGAGAACTAACACAGCCTGGTCTTTACAATGCTTAGGAAAAGGAATGCCACTGCCTTTCCACCTGTGAGCCATCACTGTGGCTAAGATTCTTCTTCTTGGCAAGTCTGTAATACGAACCCATCAGCTCTGAGACTTCCTGGGCAATAATCGAACATCCCTGGTCTTGCTCCTACTTCTTCTTCCCTTTTTTCAGTACCTAGCATCCCCTGGAATTCACAGCCTGGGACTTTATTTCAAAGCAACTTTTTCATTTGTATAACTTAAAAAAACACTCCCAGTAATAGCACACTTCTATTACTACCTAACTTTGCTATCACTCTCAATATGGAAATCAGACAAGAGTAGACCTCTCTACCTTAGCACAAGAGATTAATGATTGATTGAGACACATGACTGTCACAATAAATGTGCAAGGCCTTACCCAGGGCTTCCTAAACACATGTAAATTTTCACTCAAGGTCTTTTGTGTTGGCCTGCCCACCTCCTCCCCACAATCTGGGGCTAACACCTCTTAGCATATCATTTGCAATTATTTGCATAATAGTGTCTGAAGGTTTTAATTCTGAATATGTAAGGGAGACTAAAACTAAAATTTAGTTTGACAGGCTTAAAATGAAGAGCTGATTATAAACTATGTTGGAACAGGGGAAAGTGGGGCTAGGGGGAGGGATGGAAACTCATGGATTCACGTGAGCCCAGGTGTTGTAGGAAGATCTCAACCTACACAGAATTGCAGCATACACAGACCCAAGCCCATGGGAAAGAATGTTCCTCCTTCTGTTTGCTTGGTTGGCTGCCCACAGGCCAGACTGGGCACAATATATGCATCTGGCAAAGACAAGAAGACTGTCAAAGGAGAAATGGCTGAAAGACTTAGTGCTTCCTATGTGCCAGGCACTCACTGCTCCAAGGATTGGCACACTCAGTCCTCCTAATCTGATGAGCTGGGTACCAATACTAGCTCCCTACTGCAACTGAGGACAAGCAGCACAAGAGAGGTACAGAACCTCTCATGTGCACATAGCTAGGGAGTGAGATGCTGGAGTGTGAGCCTTGGCAGCACAGGTCCTGAGTCCACATGCTCAACCTCTCTGCTCCCCATGAGTCTCTGCCCACTGACCCACCTGCTCTCTACATGCTCAAGTCAATTATCTACAGTCTTTTGGAAAGTGATTTTGTATTGTTGACTGTTTTACTCACATACTGCTGCTATACTAGAAACATCACAAGTGAGTGGACTTAACAAAGGTATTCTTTTGCAGTTCCTTGCTACTGTTAGGCACCTTCGAGTCCATCCAACTCACAGAGACCCTCTGAAAAACAGAACACAACTCTGCCCTATCATTCATCAGCCTCACAATCTCTACCCTGATGAAGTATATTGCTACAGTCATTTGTTGTCAATCATCTTAAGGTTTTCCTCTCTTTCTCTTAGCCTTTCCATTTGTGAAGCATGATGCCTTCTGCCAAGGACTGGAGCTTCATGACAACATGCGTAAAGGATGTGAGAAAAAGCCTCAGCATCCTGGCCTCTAAGTCACACCCAGGTGGCACTTCCTCCAAGACAGATGTTTGTTCTGTCGGTAGTGCACTGCATATTAAATCCTCTTTGTCAATACTAGAATTTAGAAGCATCGGTTCTTCTCTGGCTTCAGTATTTATTGTTCAATTTTCAGATGGATATAAAGCAATCTTAAATATCATGGCCTAGATGAAGTGCACCTTAATCTTTAAACTGGTATATCTCTGCTTTTCAGAGACTTCGTCTTTTGCTTTTCAAAGAGAGAAGCGAACTGACGGGAGGAGGGTAAAGAAAAAAATGCAACAATGAATGAATGAAAATCCAAAATCTCTGTAAATGTTCATTAAATAAAAGTTTAAAAAAGTGTTTACGATGAATAAGTCATTGTGCAAAATTCAGTCATTCTATCTCCAGCTCCATTTCTGTCACCAAGTCCATGTTTTCCGACTACTGATTCTTCTTCTGTTCCCAACTTTTGCATTCCAGTCACCCATTATTATCAATGCAACTTGATTGCATGTTCCATCGATCTCCGACTGTAAAAGCTGGTAGAAATCTATTTCCTCTTCTTTGGCTCTGGTTGTTGGTGCATATATCTGAATGATAGTGGTGTATTCACTGGACTTCCTGGTACGCATATGGGTATTATCCTGTCACTCACAATATTGCACTTCAAGACAGATCTAGAAATGGCTTTTCTAACTATGAAAGCAACCCCATTTTCCCTCACTTTTTCATCTCCAGAGTAATATAGCGTATGATTCTCCGACTCAAAATGCCCCAGGCCAGTCCATCTCATCTCACCAATGCCTAGTATGTCAATATTTATTCGTTCCATTTCCTCTTTAACAAGATCTAATTTTCCTACATTCATAAATGTACAGGTTCAGGAATTCCCATTCTTGTTATGTTGCGTAATTTGTTGTGATCCAGAC